TAAAGATATTGTATTCAAGCCTGAACAGTTTGCAAAAGTTGAAACCATAAACCCAATTAAAGTTCTATCTTTACCCCCGGCCAGAAACCAGAGCCTCGCCCCCGCCCCCCCAAAGCGAAAGCCTGCTCGAGCCTTGTACTACATTTTTCTCTAAAATATAAACAAAGTAATTACGCGCACCAAGCATACTTTCAGAGTTTGTTGATGTAACTCTTGGTTTATGGTGAAAGAGTGATGCAGAAAGACACTTTTAGCTCGAAAAGTGATGGCGGAGGATCCATGTTCTGCTGGTACAAGATCGTCGTGAAAGTGGCAAACAAGTTTGCTTGACATAACTTGACGACTGTTACTGCCGTCCCGCTCGAAAGTCAGCCCCAAAATGGCATCGAAACCCAAAATGTGTCCACTACAAACAGGGCGCGCCAACATCTTCCGCGCGATTCAAGACCGGCTCGTGCTCACTCTGGCGACAGGTTTACAGCCTTGAGCGTCAGTTAGCAACAGGATGAGCAGAAACATCAACTTTACATTTGCATGCAAAGAAAAGTTGTCTTTCAAGGAATCTCTTGCTCCATTCTTGTTTCGTCTACTTCCACTTCCAGTGAAAGTGTTTGGTGGAGAGATTCGAAGTTCGGTTCCGTCAGAAGACGACGGCTGATTCCGCTTGATCGGCTGTCGATTGGCTTAATTGCAGCACTCTTGCCGACGTTTCCGAGGCAAGCTCTTTCGAGTCCGGTGAAAGATGGCAAACCTTTGTGTGTCATGTGACGAACATCGTCAGAGCAAGGCATCATCGTCACAGCCAAATTGAAGCTAACGAGTCAGGAAAACGCACTTAAAAAGCCGTAAATACATTCTATTTCTGGCCTCTTTGACGAAGTATAACGAGATTTGGTGAGCTCCAGTCACGTGTCAACTTCGAAACCCGCAGTCATGGCTCAAAGTAACGTCTGTTTCCGGCGAAAGCTTAGCACTTTTTTCGCCGGAATCCAACAAGATTCCACCTCGCAGACAGCGCAGCGTGAATTTTGCAGTCAAGCCAAACGACAGCAGGTCAAGAGGATTCCGCCGTCGTCTTCTGCTGGAATCGAGCCTTGAATCTCTTCACCGCACACTTTCACTGGAAATGGAAGAAAATTCACCTGCCCCCCTCCCCTAAAAAGCTGTCTGTACACTCTATTTCTGACCTCTTTGAAGAGGCCTCGAGTGGTTTGGTTAGTTCCGGTCACATGTCAACCTGGCAGCATGTGAGCGTGTCTGTCTCCGTTTGTGTTTGCAAGTGTGCAAGACCAGCAGTGCGGGCTCAACGCAATTAGGCCGGCAAAAGTAGCCTCTGTCCTCGGGCAGGTTGACATGTGACTGGAAGCAACCAAGTCGCTTTGCATCTCTTCAAAGAGGTCAGAAATAGAGTGCATTTACAGTTTTTTACGGAAGAGTTGGTGTGTTGCAACGACGACAGTCTCGCTGGTCTGATGATGTTCGTTGTACGACGGACGAGAGTTCAGCACGCTTTGACGGGAATCGAGGCAGATGGCCTCGGAAACAGCGTCAACATGCAAGTTCCAGTTGGGCCAATCGACAGTCGGTCGACAGGACTCGGCCATCGTCTTCTGGTGGCAATCTCTTCAGCGCACGCTTTCACTCGAAATGGAATTAAGCTCCACAATCACCATTTACAACCAATCAGACTACTCATTTCGCATGTGAGTAGGTTGGGATGCATGAAACTGAGCGCGGCTGACCCGGCGTCAGAGCGAGAGGCTGTCAGTCGTCGAGGCGACGAGCATCACAAGTTTCCGAGGCCGGAGGCTGGCGTGAGAAGAAGAGACGAACGAAGCAGTGGCTGTGCCGAAATGGCCAAATCGCGAGCTATTTCATTTCAAGAGGCTGTTTTGATTTGAATGCCAGATTCTGATTGGTTCAAACAGCCTCAACCTGATAGGTCCAAATGTGGACCCAACTCAGTGGCGAGATTTGATTGGACGACGCGAAGCAAGACTGAGGATGAGTCATCGTTCATTGTCTTGAGACACATTTCGTATAACTCATTTACTGGTGGACTCAAGACCGCACGAAAAATAAGCAATTTAGGCTGCGTCATCGCGACAATTCGACGACAGAAATGTGATGTGGGAAGGTGCCTGATCTTCCCTGAAATGCACATCTGGCCTGTCACACAAGGGCAGTCGTGGCAATGTGGCGAAGTGGTTGACGTGTCGAGATTGCTCGCTCTACTGGCATGGTTCGAGTCCGGCTGGGAGTGTTGACAAGAGTAAAACGAGGTCGAAACTACAGTCCACTTTTGGCAAAGCAAGGCCATGTGAACTTGAATGGAAACGCCAGCTCTACTAATCAGATTATGGGAAAATTCTACTTACACTTCTTCATCTGTTTCAATGGAACAAGGTAGATACATCTGATGACGAGACAATTTTAGCAGTTTAAGTTATTACAACTTTACAGCTTAAAATGGCCATTCAGATTCCTTTTTCGAAGACGCCATTCCAATTTGATTTCCGAAATTGCTATTCTAATTTACTCTTAAAATCACTATTCTAATGCTATTATCAAAATCATCATTCCATTTCACTGTTTAACAGCGCCATCCCAAAGTACATTCCAATTAACTATGCAAAAGCTTCAGTTCAACTTACTTTTCAACTCGTAACACCGAATCACATTTTGGCTCGTCAATCCAACTAACCGTTCAGCAGCGACTTTCCATTTCGCATTTTAATATCACTATTTCGATTCACCTTTCCATAATCGTCATTCTAATTCACTTTTCAAATCGCTATTCCCATTCAAAGTTTAAAATCAGCATTTAAATTTACTTTTAGAATAGTCCTTAATAGGTAAAGGTCACCATTCAAATTAACTTTTCTAATTCGTCATTTTAATTCACCATTCCAAAATTGTCATTATAATTAACCTTTCATAGTCGGACTTCACACAAATTGTTCCAAATCAGCATTTTAGTGCACTTTTCAAGATCGCAATCCCAACTCACTGCTTTAAATCTAATTCAAATTTGCTGTTACAAATCGTCTTTCCAATTCACTTTTCCAATTATCCATTACCTCTCTTATCTGCTTCGAGCCTTCACTTTTATGCTCTCGTAGGCTTTTTGAATGTGCCGAATGAAGGAATGAATGAATGAATGCTTGAATGAGACCAAAGCCGTCTTTCGACCATCATTTGGTTGATCACTACGTAACTGAGTAGCTACGGACTGGTGATTAGGGGCAGGTTGCAAAAACCATCCTGGAGACTGTTTGAAGAAATAAGCTATTTTGGTGGTCTTTGAAAAGTCCCATTTTGATGAAATCGGCTGCAATTTGATTGATCCCTTTGAAAGACCTTAAGTGATTAACCAGAATGGTTTCCAATAATAAAGCACCGAAATTGAAGGGCAACATCAAAAAATGAATTGATACCGTCAGGATATGCCCTCTCCCGCCTGTCCTCATTTTGCAAGAATCAATTCCAGCTCTGACGGGACTCAGGCCGTGGAGTTTGGCTCGCGGAGTGACTTTCACGTCCGTCTACTGCCATCTTGTGAGTAGTCTGTTGTTTGTTGGTCTCACAGGCTTGAGTTTTTGTGGTGATGCGGCAATTCGGTGCTTCGGAGGTCGCAAGAACTGAGCATCAGCCGAGCTCAGACAGTCCCTCCTCGCAGTCAGATTGCTTACGTGTTACAAATACGTAGATTAGCTGATGTCAACTTGAGACTTGTGCAAAAATGAGCTCCACATTTGAGCCGGTTTTCGCTCGAAACCAGAGAGGATGTCTCGTGGACTGTTTCGACCTGAACTGTGTAGCACAACGCGAATCGTTTTTTGGTCAGGTCGACTTGTAATCTCTTTAATATGCAGTTGCATAATGAATGCAAATCTGCATGATGCGGTTGAAAAGAGATGAGAGCCAGCCTCCAGTCTTTCCTAGCACTACTTTTAACCCTGCAGTAGTACCACAAATCTGAGCCTTCCGCCAGATGTGCACTTAAATCGCTACTTCCGACTCGGCTCACCGATGGACTGTTTGTCCGTCTTTCTGCGACCAAAACGGTGATCGTATCGACAGCCCCAGCGGGACTCGAACTCTGCTCGTCGTGGTGCAGTTGCCCACGACTCTGCACACGGTCGCGAGCACTCTTGGCTCTCGGGGCAGATTCGAATTGCATGCTTCTTTCTATTTGTTTTTCGAATTAAGTATTGTTTTCGTGACTACCAGTAAATCAGTAGTATGAAATGTATTCACACAATTTCGTTTAAG